CAGGCAGTATGCGGGACCAATTAAAGCAGTTTTTTTCACAGGTTACATATCACATGTACTGCTGTCTGGGCATAGGGACAGTTTTAGCCAATATGACAAAAAAGTGATTTTTAAAAACTTACAGACTTCAGCTTTAAAATAAGACAAAAAGCCACTAACCTTCTGAATCCAGGAGTATTTAAACTTCAGAGCTTAGTTTCCTCAAAAGTGATGCAGAGAACCCTGATAGGTTTAAGCAAGGGGTTGGAAGAACTTAAAGGATCTCGGCCAGAGCCAGAGACACATAAAGAAGTGTTAAAATCAAGGGGGACACCCACTAACCAGAGTCAGGTGGGAGGACGGAGACAGGGAATTTAATCCAATACAGGGGTTTTAGCAGGAGACAGAAACCAGGGAATAGAAGCTGGGTCGATGTCCACAAAACAGAGACCAACATGAGCTCAATCAGGGGCAAGGCAGTGCAAACCAAACAATCCAGAACTGATCTGAAAGAATCTCTGCAAGCATTCCCCGATGGGCTGTAAATCTGTATATGACAATGAGGATTGTTTCAACATCAAGGTGGGTGAGAATATCAAGGTGGACAGCTCTAGTGGTTAAAGCCCCATCTTTTCTTTGTGCACTGCCCAACTTTAACATGGAATGATCTGAAACAGTTGATCTCTGTGGTGTTAAATGCAGGCTTAAATAGGCAGCTGAGGCTACAATGCCGCTTGCCATCATCAGTGTTTGAGTGTGTGTGTGAATAGTGGAATGACTGAATTTAGTGTTTTGGTCAAGTCTACTGACATGAAAAAGCTCCATAAAAGTACAGTTGACTGAAGAACCATCCACTGCAACGGTTTGGTGTCTGGGTAAGGTAACTTGGCCCAGCAGATGGAGTTCATTTTCCCATTGCTCCCACAGTTACTGTAGGTCTGGTGGGAGTAGTGGGTCATTTGGATCCCAGTGCTTCTGTGTTTGTAGCCTATGAGGTATTTTTGGGTGTCACAGCTGAGTCCAAGTGTGTTTTCATAGGAGACAGACTTTTCCTGTGCCAGCCACAGTTCCATAGTGGGAGAACAGGCTTAATTTGGTAGGTGACTAATCACTTCTGCTATATTGCTCGCCTATTGACTAAGGTTGAACCATGTGAAAAGAGCAAAGCTCTTAGCATATCAACTAAGGCGCTTGCTTCCTCAGCTGAGGATAGACTTTGTAAGCAATTGTCAACATAGAAGCACTGCTCCACAGAAAATCACACATCCTTCTTCTTGACTGTGGACAGTGATGCAATGCTGAAGTTAATTTGTGACACAGCAGCAGTGTTGTTTTCGTCAACGATCACGATGATGAAACTATTTCATTGACACTCCTTTTTTTCCTGACCATAATGAAAACTGACCAGATAAACATGGATCTTTGATGACGACACACTTGACAAACAAGTCATGGGTGTGAGTTTTCGATGACAGGACTTGTTTGAAAGACTAGATAAAAACCTTTATAGGTGGTCTTCCAGACTTTTAAAATGCATAATTGTGCTGTAAGCTGTTAGACAAGCTAAGCAGTATCAGCTGTGCTGCTGTGTCCTGTTTGGTCATGCCACCCACCTTGCGCACCTTCTGCATGACCACAGATAGATCATTGCAGCAGCAGCAGGGGGAAAGTAATCAGAAAGGGTCCAGTACTGCGAGATCAGCTCTGACAAACTCCAGTGTGCTTTTGCAGAAATGTGTCTTTTCTGTGCTTGCGCTTCACACTGCTGCTTTGCTCTCAGTAGTATGACTTCCTGCCCTCACTGCGTAATTAACTATATGTGACTGTTCATCCTCTGACCAGTATAGAAAATCTTTTTGTCTGACTATCGAGATTTTATTTCTTCCAGTTCAAAAGAAGTGATGCAAAACCCCCTTCGGTTTCTACTAAAAGGAATCCCTAAATTATATCCAAAGCAACTATTTAGTTGTGTTGTGATACTTTAATATGTTTATTGCCCAACCCAGTAGGGGTGACAAATATCTTATTTAATCAGATATTATTCAGACTGTCATATATTGTTTATGATTACACACACTACTAGCTGTGTGTTAGAACAACAAATGAAAGAGTGAATCGAGCTCAAGTTATGGTGAAACAGATAATTCTGCATATTCATGGAATAATTCACCACAACTTAAACAACATTAAAAGATTCGAGTTTATTAACAAAAATCATTCAGCTCCAACTCAAACATATTTCTATTGAAAACTCTTGACTAAAAACTGGTGAAACTGTTAGGTTTCTGTTTTCTGTGATGTTTTTCTTTTGAGTATCCAGTTTTGCTTTTCTCCTTGTTTCCTAGTTTTTATGGTTTAATTCTTAGTTTATTCTGTTCTTTGTTTTTTTCTCAGTTACTGTCCTAGTCTTGGTTCTGTTATATGTTCTTTTTTAGTGTTCAGTTTTGCTTTGCTCCTTGTTTTCTAGTGTTAGTGGTTTTATTTCTATTTTGCTGTGTTCTCTAGTTAATTCTTAGTTACTGTTTCAGTCTTGGTTCTGTTATGTTTTCTTTTGAGTGTTTAGTTTTACTTTTCATCTTGTTTATAGTCTTAGTGGTTTAATTATTATTTTGTTGTATTTTCTAGTTATTGTCAGTCTTCCAGTTTTTTTTTTCATTTGTTGCCCTCTGCTGTCCTCTTGTGTTCTTTTTTCTCTTACTTCTTTCTTGTTTCTGCTCTACTCACACCTGCTCCTAATCTGCTCATTAACCCTCTCTTTGTTTCAGTCTCCTACAAAAACACTCTCTGTTCTGTTCTTTTTTGCTGGATCCTCGTCTAACTTCCTCCTACTCCGTCTCTCTGAGCCTTCCTCTTCTAGAATGAATCCCCCCTGATGTCTCAATGGTTTCTGGTTTGCTTTTGACTTTGTTTTCATGTTTTGATTTTGGATATTTGGACTCCTGGTTTTCAGTTTGTTTGGACTTTTTCATGTTTGGATTTTTTGATTTCCAGCCTCTGTTTTCTGTTAACCTTTATTAAACCCACAAGTAAATCACCTCTGCCTCTAGCCTCTGCATTTTGGGTCATCCATTCACCCTTTCACAGTTGATGATGGATTTTGTGTTTGAAAACCAAAGTTTATCCTGTGGACTTTGGGACCTGATCAAATTAGTTTTTCACCAATTTAGAGTGTTTGGAATTGTTTCAAACCAATTCACAATGCAAATCCATAAGGGGTAAATAAATTATTTGGCCAAATAATATATTTGGTCATCAAAATGTAATGAACATATATGAGAAAACACATGAACACTAATGTTATATTAGTGTTAAAACCCTTAGGGAAATAAAGCTTGTCCAAGATCCAACAACAGCTCAAAACATATTACTGTATCATAGCGTACCATAGGATCCATCCTGTTTGCTTTGTCTTTACTAATCAGTAAACACATGAAATGATCAAAATCATCAAAACACACATTGTTTTACTAGAATCTGTCCCTAATTGTGCCAGACCTTATACCTCTGTTCATGTCCATTTTGGAAGGTTTGAGTTTCCTCTAACAGCAGCTTTGCATGGCAGTTCACAGTTCCAGTCTGGCTCTGTAAGTTCTGAAACTCAGAGAAATGTGTTACAGCAGTTTATTGTGCAGCAGTTTGTTTCTGAAATATCTTATCCTTGGTCATTCTGGAGATCTGGGCCTTTGGGCCTGGCACCATGGTGTTGTCCTCTTTCGATGTGAACTTCAGCTTCACTGAAAGAGAGAGAAAAATCCTCTGTGCTGTGGATTTTACTGTTCTCAGTTCCGTGGGGGGTGTTCTAGGAGGTGTCCTGAGGTTTGCAGAAGCTTTGAGAGGGCAGCAGCATTGTAGAACAGAACTTCACCCTCTACTCAAGTTAAAAGGTTAAGATGAAACATGGACATTGGTCATCAATGTCCAAAACTTTATCATTGTTTATTTTACAAAAGTTGCACACTGTTTACTTTTTGAGAAAGATTTAGATTAAAGGTACTTAGATTTATGAAAACTATGAATGAACACATGTGGAATTATATACTTTAAAAAAAGTGTGAAACAACTGAAAATATGTCTTATATTCTAGGTTCTTCAAAGTAGCCACCATTTACTTTGCCTCACACATTTTTTTTATGATGAATTGCCATCATAAAAGATGCTTATAAGCCAAAAATGAAAAAGCTGGGGCCTTTTTTGTCTGATTTAGACAGTGGGAACAGATTACAGCAGGTTTTATTTCATCCCATATTGCCAATTCTGGCAATATGGGATGAAATAAAACGGCTGATGTTAGAACACAAACTGTTTATTAAGGATAGTACAACAGTGATAAATTGTAAGTTAATATAAAACACAAATATAGATTTAAGTACTAAATTTCAACCAGGAAAAAATTATTTCCTTCTGCATATAGTCTTTGATTACAAGTGCACTCCATTTTCTATTTCATTTTTATTACAAGTATATGGTTTACAACCGTTTTCAATGGGATGAGAACATTTGCACACTGTGAAACAATAAGAGATTTTTTT